TATATATATATATATATATATATATATCTTACATTGAAAAAAAAGAGTTTAGGAGTTTAAATTTAAAAAAAGTTTAAAAAAGAAATAAGTCTTTTAATGTTTTTTATTTATTTATATTTTTTAGTGGATCAACAAATCACTGTATAAGTGTATATAATACAATGGGTCAACATTTAAACACAATAAAATTTCATGAAGGATTTATGGCCACTCGTATTAGCCCTGTAAGTTGTTTGAGTTTTCATCCTTATCGTGTAATTCTAGCAGCTGGTTGTGTAGATAGTACTATTACAGCATATGCATCTGAACCACGCAGATGACTAACAGAAATGGAATTGTTGTAAAATTATCATTACAAATGCAAATCTATAGTACTTGATATTTTTAGCATTAAAAGTCAATAAAAAGAAATATTAAAAGCGTAATATTGAATATTTGAAAAAATCAGAAGATGAATTCTTATTTTTTATGTTTTTTTACTGCGTTTTTTCATATGTGAAAACGCTATTCTTTGGAATTAATTCATGTAGCGAAACTAATAGTTTATGTGATTATAAAACCTGTGAATAAATTAACCAAAGTCTTTAAAGACGACCAAAGAAAAGCTCGATAATACAAATTACATTACAGCAATGTAATATTTTAAAACGCAGTTGAAAGAAATTTGATATTCTTACAAATAATGATGCATAATATATGCAAATGTGATGCAACGAAAAAAAATTTGAATGCATGTATGAATGTGTTTAATATTTAATAAAGCTTATAATATTTATAAGGAAACAACTTTAATTATTGTGCCATTACAAAAATAGTTCCAATTAAGTTTATGTTTCGAATTTTCTAATCAATTAATGAAATATTTATTTTTCTTTATATATTATTAATTTTCTTAATTTTTTCTTTTATTTTTTTTACGAAACTTAGGAAATAATAATTAGGAAATTATTTTTTCTTAAAGAAATAATTTTAATTTTAAAACTGTATAAAATATCTATATATTTTTAGCTTTTTATGATAAAGTTATTAAAATTAAAACAAGAGCCAATATATTGGTTAAATAATTTAACCATATATTTTATATTTTATGATTAGTGCAATAAATTATTAAATTAATGATAACAAAAAATTAAAATAAATAACTTAAGATAGAAGGAAATATAATTAAATTAAATTAGAAATTAAATTAAATAGAATATTTTTTTATTAATACATCATTTTTTTAAAAATCTATCTTATATGCATATTTTTCTTTATGATTTCTTAAAATTTTTCGTTTGTAATTATAGAAAAAAAAAAGGAATTATTTTTGTAAATATATGAATTTATCAATAACATTTTTTGTTAAATTATTAATGATATATTTAATTATATATGAATTAAAACTTTTTAAGCTTCTTTTTCATAATTAAAAATCTTATCATGTTGTAACTTAAAAAATTTGTAAAGAAACACGTCTTTACTGATAAATTATTTAAAAATTTAAATAGATACATATGTAATGTAATTTTTATTTAATTAATTACCATTATATTATTTAGAAAGTGTTTTATGGTATAATTATATGTTGTATATGTGTATTTTATTATACACATAATCATTTATTGCTATTGTTATTAGCTATTATAATCACTTTAATCAAGTAATCAGATTTCATATATCTATGCATGAATATCAGTAGTTAAATTATATAAATAATAAAAGAAAAAGAAAAAGATATTAGATAACGAGTTCGTAAATAAAAGTGTATATACTTAGGCAATATTGAATAATGTTTAAAAAAAAATAATATGCATATAAATTTATTTCAAATTACAATAGTTTTGTTATTAATATTGATACTCAGAGGCACAATAAAAGATATAAATTGCTAAATTTTTTCTAAATACATAATAGATAAAAGATAAGAATCTCTAAAAATACACATGAGATGTTTCACAAGATGAATGCATATTAATATAAAAATATTCAAAAACTGATTATTTGATAAAGAACGATTTGTAAGAAATTTTAATTATAAAATATAAATTGAATCATAAAAAATCAATAATTTTGTTTTTAAACTCAAAAATCTTTTGTTGTGTATAAATACATATACAAATTTATATGTATATAAATATATACGTATACATAAAATTTAATATGCAAGTTAAGAATGTTTTTCTTATCTTTTTGAAGAAAAAGTATCTATTTCATTAGAGAATGTAAAATATAATTGATAAATTAATGTAGTAATTGTATTTTTTCGATACTAATATATATTTCTAATAAAATCAATTACTTTTATGATGAAATAACATTTTCGGACATTTTATGTAGCTATACTGGATTTGGAGAAAATTATAATAAAAATATAAAAAGTACTTAATTTACGTTCACTACTTCTTGAAGTAGTTATAAATAGATGTTCCTGTATATATTATTACACCATTATTGCTGTTGTTAATAATAATTATTGGAAATGTTAAATACAGGAACATCAAATAGAATAATTTAAGAAAAATGAATATGATGTACTATTTTGAATGTATCTATTATTTGCATTGTATGTGTGTATATGATTGCTTTATAATAAATATAATCATGTTATTTTAATGTAAGATTATAATTTATATTTAAATATCATGCTATAATCAATTTTAATGATCAATGTTACTTCGATTAAATATTTGTTTAAAATTATTTATATTCATATAAATTATTTATATTTAATTATTCATATAAATTATATATCTATTAATTTATAAAATAAAATATGTTTAAAATACCAACAGTGGTGAAATAAATAGTGTACTTTGGATTAGCAAAAATAAAATAAATTCATTCTTTTTTATATATTTTAAAATTTCTATGTAATGAAAATATATGCAATATAACATATTATTTTTAATAATGTAACCATACTTCTAAGTTCTATTTTTTAAATATTTTATTATTATTTTTTATATTTAGTATCTATAAAATATTGATACATAATAGTGTAATGGATGTAAAATTGTCTTATTTTAATATAACTTAATATATAACTTAATATAACTAATAAAAAATCAATACATATATCAATTTTTACATTTGTTTTGATCTTAAGATTATCTAAAAGATTGTCTTAAAATGCTTAATGAATATAATTAATATTTTATATATCTTATATAAAATATTTCTTTAATTTTTTAAATCATCATTAAAAATCATTATGAATAGTTTTTCTGTTTTCTATATTTAATGTTATTAATATATATCAGAAATATTTTTATTTTAACGACATTTACATTAATTTATATAATTCAATATATTAAAATAATTATAAAAATAATTAAAAATATGTAATATTTTTATTTTTTATATCATAAGCATATATTATATATATAAATTTTATAATCAAAATTTTTTTTGAAATATACATACTTCTAAACTTCATTTATTATAAAATTCAAATTAATTCTGTTATTAATTTTTGAAAAATTGTAAAATACTTTTACTTAATAAATGATTTATTTTGAATTTATGTTGTAAGTACCTATACTTATTTTAATAATGTATTTATTCAATATTTAAAGCACATTAATTAAATAACATTTTTTAAATATATTTTACCAAATTTTAATGTAAAAAATAGAAAAGAAATTTTATTATAGTTTTTTACAGATATTATTATTATCGAATTTAATTTCTTAATTAAGTAAATAAATTTAAAATAAATAAATAATAAAATAAAAGAATAATTTTGCACGAAGAATTAAAATAAAAAAATTACAAAAAAATTAATTATATTTTAATAAAAATGTGAAATTTATTGCAATATTAGTTGTAAATATATAAATAATTTACATTATGAATTTTATGCATATGTTATTTATTAGAACATATAGAGGAAAAGATACAAATATGAGATAGAAAAATACACGAAGATTGATTGAATACAACATTGATAGTTTTCATAATGATTATATTTTAAATATTATTATAATTAAAACGATCTCCTATAGCAATTATTGATAAATTCCTTTTATTTAATATATATTTTATGTTTCAATTACAATAAAAAGTTTCTATTCGCGTTTATGAAATTATTTTATGATTTTTAGAAAAAAAATGTATTTTTTCTAAAAATTTATTAAGTTATTAATTTATTTAAAAAGAAGAAAAGATAATTTATTATAATTACTCGTAATTTTAGTATATTAAGATTTAAAATAATTATATGTTTTATTATGATATATATAATAAAAGAAAGTGAAATGGCAAATTGATAAAAATATGAAATACTTGATTAAGCAATATAATTAAAATTTTAATTAAAAATAATTAAAAATCGAAGAAATTTTAAAAATAAATTATATAAATACGTTGACTAACATGCTTATACTAGTTGTGCTCATCAATTGTGTAGATACAGAAAGCACAATTTATATATACGATTATTATAAATCAAGATAAATTATTTGTTTCATTATGATTATTTTATTATATTTAATGTTATTTGCTTGTATATTAATAAAACTTTTTTATTAACATTTTAACATAATTTTATTCAATTTATTTCCCTTGATAACAGTTTCAAGGGAATTTTATTAGTAACCGATATTATTATTAATTATATTATTAATCCAATTTAGAAAAAATAAAAAAATTAAAAGTTTTATAAAATTCAAAATACTTATATTTGCAGCATTTTTAAATTTTTTTATGTTTTTTTTTATGTACTTTTTATTTGATTTTTATATTTATTAATATTTTGAAGCTTTCTATATCAGGAATAAGAAGAATATTCTATATATTCGTATTTTTTTCTTTAATTAATAATATTTAATAATTTATGATAATGCATTAATTATAGTCCATATATTTATTTGTATAATGTTTCACAAAACTATTATATAATATATAATAATTATTTTCATCTTTTATCATCATATAATTCATCAAAAATTATTTATATATTTTATAGTCATGCTTCTTAATTAATTTACTTTACTTAATTTTGTATATAATATATAAGTAAACGCTAACACATAAATAAATTTTTAATTTTAGATAAATCAATTATATTGGAAAATAATATTATTATTAATTTTAATAAATATTAGTAATTTATTATATCATTTTTATATTTATTTATATATTTTTAAAATTCAACATTCAATTGTTACAACAAATCGATTTATATATATATATATATATATATCTATTATATAATAGTAATATAATTAATGAATAATAATAATAATAACATAATTATTTTTGTGTAGTAATAATGATAAAAGTTTGACTTATAAAAATAAACAATTTGATACATTTTGATTTAAAATCAGATTATTTTAAATTCTAATTGCAGATGTAAAATAATATAATTAAATATATGTAATACATTAAAATTTATATATTTAGTTTATAAAGATTTCCATGATAAAACAAAAGAGACAATTTCACAGAATTTTCTGTGAATTTTCGAACAATGTAAATTCGATTGTAAATAATTTTATATTCTATTTATAAGAATAATTAGAATCTAGAAAATTAGAATATAGAAAATTAAAAATTAATAGAAACATAAATGAAATGTGATTGTTATTATAAATAATAATCGACGAATTGTATTTATATCTTTATATATAAATTATGTGTAATTAATCTTGCATACATATAATCATCATATACATATACATATATCATAAATATTTATCATAAAATTCTCAAGTATGATAAAAATGACTAATGATTAAATTTCTACTTTAATTATTAACTTCAATTTAAGAGTATATGCATTTCAACATCTAT